AGAGAGCAATGGAAGAAAGAGAGTAATGGAGGAAAAAGAATAGTGGAGGAAAGAGAGTAATGGAGGAAAGAGAATGGAAAAAGAATAGTGGAGGAAAAAGAATAGTGGAGGAAAAATGGAGGAAAGAGAGCAATGGAAGAAAAAAGTAAAGGAGGAAAAGAATAGTGGAGGAAAGAGAGTAATGGAGGAAAGAGAGCAATGGAAGAAAGAGAGTAAAGGAGGAAAAAGAATAGTGGAGGAAAGAGAGTAATGGAGGAAAGAGAGCAATGGAAGAAAGAGAGTAATGGAGGAAAAAGAATAGTGGAGGAAAGAGAGTAATGGAGGAGGAAAGCAATGGAAGAAAGAGAGTAAAGGAGGAAAAAAATAATAGTGGAGAAAAGAGAGTAATGGAGGAAGAGAGCAATGGAAGAAAGAGAGTAAAGGAGGAAAAAGAATAGTGGAGGAAGAAAGTAATGGAGGAAATGGAAGAAAGAGAGTAAAGGAGGAAAAAGAATAGTGGAGGAAAGAGAGTAATGGAGGAAAGAGAGCAATGGAAAAAAGAGTAAAGGAAAAAAAGAAAAGTGGAGGAAAGAGAATGGAGGAAAGAGAGTAATGGAGGAAAAGAGAATGGATGGAAGAAAATGGAGGAAAAAAGAATAAAGGAGGAAAAAGAGTAATGGAGGAAAAGAGCAATGGAAGGAAAGTAAAGGAGGAAAAAGAATAGTGGAGGAAAGAGAGTAATGGAGGAAGAAATAATGGAAGAAAAGGAAATGGAAAAAAGAATAGTGGAGAAAGAGAGTAATGGAGGAAAGAGAATGGAAGAAAAGAGAAGGAGGAAAAAAGAATAGTGGAGGAAAGAGAGTAATGGAGGAAAGAGAGTAATGGAAGAAAGAGAGTAATGGAGGAAAAAGAATAGTGGAGGAAAGAGAGTAATGGAGGAAAGAGAGTAATGGAAGAAAGAGAGTTGTGGAGGAAAGAGAGTGATAGAGGAAAGAGAATAGTGGAGGAAAGAGAGTAGTAGAGAAAAGAGTAATGGAGGAAAGAGCGTAGTGGAGGAAAGAGGGTAATGGAGGAAAGAGAGTAGTGAAGGAAAGACAGTAGTGGAAAGAGAGCAATGCAGAAAACTATAAAAAAGAGTGAGGGTGTGGAAACTGAAAGAGAAGAGAGAAAGAAGGATTGAAGAATCAGAGAAAGAAGAAGATAAGAGAGAGATAGAGAGAGGGGATATAGTGATTGAAAGATTGATAGAAGAGGGAGCAAACAGAAGCGACAGGGGTTATAAAGAAGAGAGAAAAGCAGTAAAAGAGAAAGGCAGAGCTATGTAGAAGATAGATAGATAGATAGATAGATAGATAGATAGATAGATAGATAGATAGATAAAAGGGAACAGAGAGAGATAGGTGTTAGAAGAGAGAGGGAGAGACGGAGTGAGGTAATCTTACTTATTATAAAACGCAGATTGTTGTGTGTGTGTGTGTGTGTGTGTGTGTGTGTTTGTGTCTGTAACGTTTATATATTGGATCGGATTTCCTACATTTTTCAACCGATTTCAACAAAACTTCACAGGACTACGTAAAATTACCTTGTGGTGGTTCTAACAGCGCCAAAAATGGGAAAAATATAATTGCTTTTTCACAAAATCAATTTGAAAACACGATTAAGAGGCATCGTGAAAATGGAAGGGGGACAACTCACATCGGTTTGTTTGTGTGTGTAGGTTACATTAAATATGGGAGCAGATTTCCTATATTTTTCAGCCGATTTCAACAAAACTTCACTTTTTTTGGCATGTAGTGTTTCTTATTGTCTTGCACACTTTTTTCTTTATTTTTACATTCAGATTGCTTTAAAAATTCCATTTACAAGACAATTGTTTGCAATAAAATTCTATTCAATCGGTAGACTCATAACGATTGAAAACAATGTTTTTGTTTGAGTTTGGGTTTGACCAATTCGTAAAAAAAAACAAAAATTAAAGAAAACCTAATTAAGACATGTGTCCGTCAACCTTAAATAATAATTTTTGTCAATTTTATTTTTCAGTCTTTATGATGGTCGATACTTGATCTGTCTCTTACTGTTACATCCCCGGGCAACACCGGGCTCTCCTGCTAGTAGTATATAGAAAGAAAGAACAACAGAAAAGAGAAAGATACAATAGAAAAAATATTGAATGAAGTGACAATAGGAAAGACAGAGAACAAAAACTGGAGCGATGCGATATTAGAAAAAGCGAGGTAAGTGTCAATAGACTAGAGAGAGGGAAGGGGTACTAGTAAAAGAGAGAGAGAGAGAGAGAGGGGTAATATTAAAAAGAGAGAGAGAGAAGTGGTAATAGTAAAGAGAGAGAGAGAGAGAGAGAGAGAGAAATGGTCTTAAGAAGGAAAAAGAGAGAAATAACAGAAACCAGAACAAAGGGGTAATAAAAAAAAAGGAGAGAAGTAGTAATAACAGTAAGAGAGTATGCTCATAGAAAATAGAGAGAGAAATAAGAGAAAAGACACACGGTGTAATAACAAGA